ACTACACTATACACTACTACACTATACACTACTACACTATACACTACTACACTATACACTACTACACTATACACTACTACACTATACACTACTACACTATACAGAACTACACTACACTATACACTACTACACTATACACTACTACACTATACACTACTACACTATATACTACTACACTATACACTACTACACTATACACTACTACACTATACACTACTACACTACACACTACTACACTACTACACTACACTATACACTACTACACTACACACTACTACACTATACACTACACTACTACACTACACTATACACTACTGCACTATACACTACACTATACACTACTACACTATATACTACTACACTATACACTACTACACTATACACTACTACACTACACACTACTACACTACTACACTACACTATACACTACTACACTACTACACTACACACTACTACACTACACACTACTACACTATACGCTACACTACTACACTACACTATACACTACTACACTATACACTACTACACTATACACTACTACACTATACACTACTACACTATATACTACTACACTATACACTACTACACTATACACTACTACACTACACACTACTACACTACACTATACACTACTACACTATACACTACTACACTACACACTACTACACTACACACTACTACACTATACGCTACACTACTATATGCTACACTACTATACACTTGACACTACACTGCTATATGCTACACTCCTAATAAACCTGTTTCAATAAACTTTTTCAATAAACCTGTTTCAATAAACCTCTTTCAATAAACTGCTATACACTACACTACTACTATACACTACTATACACTACACTACTATACACTACACTATACACTACACTGCTATACACTACACTACTATACACTACACTACTACACACTACGCTACTATACTGAATGGGTCTCTATGTATCTCTGTGTATCTCACTTATATACCAAAGCGACCCATAGAGACACATAGAGATACACAGAGACACATAGAGACCCATAGAGACACATAGAGACACACAGAGATACATAGAAACCCATAGAGATACATTGAGATACAAAGAGACCCACAGAGACACATAGAGACACATAGACCCATAGAGACGCATAGAGACCCATAGAGATACATAGAGACCCACAGAGACGCATAGAGACCCATAGACCCATAGCGATACACAGAGACACATAGAGACACATAGAGATACATAGAGATACACAAAGACCCATAGAGATACATAGAGATACACAGAGACACATAGAGATACATAGAGACCCATAGAGATACATAGAGATACATATAGACCGACACTGACAGAGACCCACAGAGACCCATAGACACTTATAGAGACCCACAGAGACCCACAGAGACCCATAGAGACCCACAGAGACCCATAGAGACCCACAGAGACCCATAGACACTTATAGAGACCCACAGAGACCCACAGAGACCCATAGAGACCCACAGAGACCCATAGAGACCCACAGAGACCCATAGAGACCCACAGAGACCCATAGACACTTATAGAGACCCACATAGACCCATAGAGACCCACAGAGACCCATAGAGACCCACAGACACCCATAGAGACCCACAAAGACCCATAGACACTCATAGAGACCCATAGAGACCCACACCCATAGAGACCCACAGAGACCCATAGACACTCATAGAGACCCACAGAGACCCACACCCATAGAGACCCATAGAGACCCAGAGACCCATAGACACTCATAGAGACCCACAGAGACCCATAGAGACCCACAAAGACCCATAGAGACCCAGAGACCAATAGACACTCATAGAGACCCACAGAGACCCATAGAGACCCACACTCAGAGAGAACCACAGAGATCCACACTGACAGAGACTCACAGAGACCCATAGACACTCATAGAGCCCCACAGAGACCCATAGAGACCCACACCCATAGAGACCGATAGAGACCCACAGAGACCCACAGAAACCCATAGACACTCATAGAGACCCACAGAGACCCATAGAGACCCATAAAAACTCATAGAGATCCACAGACACCCATAGAGACCCACAGAGGCCCATAGAGGCCCATAGACACTCATAAAGACCCACAGAGACCCATAGACACTCATAGAGACCCATAGACACTCATAGAGACCCACAGAGGCCCATAGACACTCATAGAGACCCACAGAGACCCATAGACACCCATAGACACTCACAGACACCCCCCCCTGCCCTACCCAACATGGCCGCCGTGCCTTCACTTCCACTCAGGGCGCGACGGGGCGGGGTCAGTGCGGGGGGGGGGTGCGTGAGGGGCGGGGCTGGGGCGTGGCCAAGGAGCGCAACGGTGGGCGGGGCGGTTTGAGCGAACGGGGAGGGGCAAGGCGCGTGGGCGACGGGGGCGGGGCCGTGGGAGAGAAAAGGGGGCGGGACAACGGCGCGCCCCGCGCGCTGGTTGGGCCGCTTCACCGCCTCAGTTGCCGCCGCTTCCGCCACTTCGGCCACGCCCCCCGCCCCCCCCCAAGTCGCCCCGCCCACTTCGACTTTGGCGCATGCGGAGGGATACATCGGCCTCGCAGACCTCGTGCAGGTGAGGAAAGAGAGACCCACAGAGACACATAGAGATACATAGAGACCCATAGAGATACATAGAGATACATAGAGACCCATAGACATACATAGAGATACATAGAGACCCATAAAGATACATAGAGATACATAGAGACCCATAGAGATACATAGAGATACATAGAGACCCATAGAGATACATAGAGATACATAGAGACCCATAGAGATACATAGAGACTCATAGACATACATAGAGATACATAGAGACCCATAAAGATACATAGAGACCCATAGAGATACATAGAGATACATAGAGACTCATAGAGATACATAGAGATACATAGAGACCCATAGAGATACATAGAGATACATAGAGACCCATAGACATACATAGAGATACATAGAGACCCATAGAGATACATAGAGACTCATAGACATACATAGAGACTCATAGAGATACATAGAGAAACATAGAGACACATAGAGATACATAGAGATACATAGAGACCCATAGAGATACATAGAGACCCATAGACATACATAGAGATACATAAAGATGCATAGAGACCCATAGAGATACATAGAGATACATAGAGACCCATAGAGATACATAGAGACCCATAGACATACATAGAGATACATAGAGATACATAGAGACCCATAGAGATACATAGAGATACATAGAGACCCATAGAGATACATAGAGATACATAGAGACCCATAGAGATACATAGAGACACAGAGACCCATAGAGATACATAGAGACACATAGAAATACATAGAGATACATAGAGACCCATAGAGATACATAGAGACAGATAGAGACCCATAGAGACACATAGAGATACATAGAGACACATAGAGATACATAGAGACCCATAGACACATAGAGATACATAGAGACCCATAAAGACACATAGAGACCTATAGAGATACATAGAGACCCATAGAGACCCATAGAGACACATAGAGACCCACAGAGACACATAGAGACCCACAGAGATACATAGAGACGCATAGTGACACAGAGATACATAGAGATACATAGAGACACAGAGACCCATAGAGACACATAGAGATACATAGAGACACATAGAGATACATAGAAACACATAGAGACTCATAGAGACACATAGAGATACATAGAGACACATAGAGACCTATAGAGACACATAGAGATACATAGAGACCCATAGAGACACATAGAGACTCACAGAGATACATAGAGACCCATAGAGACACATAGAGATACATAGAGACCCATAGAGACACATAGAGACCCATAGAGACACATAGAGATACATAGAGACCCATAGAGACACATAGAGATACATAGAGACCCATAGAGACACATAGAGATACATAGAGACCCACAGAGACCCATAGAGACACATAGAGATACATAGAGACCCACACTCATAGAGATACATAGAGATACATAGAGACCAATAGAGACTCATAGAGATACATAGTGACACATAGAGACACATAGAGATACATAGAGACACAGAGAGATACATAGAGACACATAGAGACCCACACTCATAGAGATACATAGATATACATAGAGTCCCATAGAGACTCATAGAGATACATAGAGACACATGCTCATAGAGATACATAGAGACACATAGAGACTCATAGAGACCCACAGAGACCCACACCCATAGAGACCCATAGAGACCCAGAGACCCATAGACACTCATAGAGACCCACAGAGGCCCATAGACACTCATAGAGACCCACACTCATAGAAACCCACAGAGACCCATAGAGACCCACACCCATAGAGACCCAAAGAGACCCACAGAGACCCAAAGAGACCCACAAACACCCATAGACACTCATAGAGACCCATAGAGACCCACAGACACCCATAGACACTCATAGAGACCCATAGAGACCCACAGACACCCATAGACACTCATAGAGACCCACAGAAACCCATAAACACTCATAGAGACCCACAGAGACCCATAGAGACCCATAAAAACTCATAGAGATCCACAGACACCCATAGAGACCCACAGAGGCCCATAGACACTCATAAAGACCCACAGAGACCCATAGACACTCATAGAGACCCATAGACACTCATAGAGACCCATAGACACTCATAGAGACCCACAGAGACCCATAGACACTCATAGAGACCCATAGACACTCATAGAGACCTACAGAGACCCATAGACACCCATAGACACTCACAGACACCCCCCCCTGCCCTACCCAACATGGCCGCCGTGCCTTCACTTCCTCTCCGGGCGCGACGGGGCGGGGTCAGTGCGGGGGGGGGGGGGTGCGTGAGGGGCGGGGCTGGGGCGTGGCCAAGGAGCGCAACGGTGGGCGGGGCGGTTTGAGCGAACGGGGAGGGGCAAGGCGCGTGGGCGACGGGGGCGGGGCCGTGGGAGAGAAAAGGGGGCGGGACAACGGCGCGCGCCGCGCGCTGGTTGGGCCGCTTCACCGCCTCAGTTGCCGCCGCTTCCGCCACTTCGGCCACGCCCCCCGCCCCCCCCCGAGTCGCCCCGCCCACTTCGACTTTGGCGCATGCGGAGGGATACATCGGCCTCGCAGACCTCGTGCAGGTGAGGAAAGAGAGACCCACAGAGACACATAGAGATACATAGAGACCCATAGAGACCCATAAAGATACATAGAGATACATAGAGACTCATAGAGATACATAGAGATACATAGAGACCCATAGAGATACATAGAGACTCATAGACATACATAGAGACTCATAGAGATACATAGAGACCCATAGAGACCCATAGAGATACATAGAGATACATAGAGACTCATAGAGATACATAGAGACCCATAGAGATACATAGAGACTCATAGACATACATAGAGACTCATAGAGATACATAGAGAAACATAGAGACACATAGAGATACATAGAGATACATAGAGACCCATAGAGATACATAGAGACCCATAGACATACATAGAGATACATAAAGATGCATAGAGACCCATAGAGATACATAGAGATACATAGAGACCCATAGAGATACATAGAGACCCATAGACATACATAGAGATACATAGAGATACATAGAGATACATAGAGACCCATAGAGATACATAGAGACACATAGAGATACATAGAGACACAGAGACCCATAGAGATACATAGAGACACATAGAAATACATAGAGACACATAGAGACCCATAGAGACACATACTCATAGAGACACATAGAGACACATAGAGACCCATAGAGACACATACTCATAGAGACACATAGAGACACATAGAGACCCATAGAGATAGATAGAGACACATAGAGACACATAGAGACCCATAGAGACCCATAGAGACACATAGAGACCCATAGAGACCCATAGAGACACATAGAGACCCATAGAGACACATAGAGACCCACAGAGACCCACACTCACAGAAACCCACAGAGACCCACACCCACAGAGACCCACACTCATAGAGACCCACACCCACAGAGACCCACACTCACAGAGACCCACACTCATAGAGACCCACACTCATAGAGACCCACAGAGACCCACACTCATAGAGACCCACACCCACAGAGACCCACACCCACAGAGACCCACACTCATAGAGACCCACAGAGACCCACACTCATAGAGAGCCACACTCATAGACACTCACAGAGACCCACACTCACAGAGACCCATAGAGACCCACAGAGACCCACACAGAGACCCACACTCATAGAGACCCACAGAGACTTACACCCACAGAGACCCACACAGAGACCCACACCCACAGAGACCCACACTCATAGAGACCCACACCCATAGAGATCCACACTCATAGAGACCCACACTCATAGAGACCCACACTCACAGAGACCCACACCCACAGAGACCCACACTCACAGAGACCCACAGAGACCCACACTCATAGAGACCCACACCCACAGAGACCCACACTCATAGAGACACACAGAGACCCACACTCACAGAGACCCACACCCATAGAGACCCACACTCATAGAGACACACAGAGACCCACACTCATAGAGACCCACACCCACAGAGACCCACACTCATAGAGATCCACACTCATAGAGACCCACACTCATAGAGACCCACACCCACAGAGACCCACACTCATAGAGACACACAGAGACCCACACTCACAGAGACCCACACCCATAGAGACCCACACTCATAGAGACACACAGAGATCCACACTCATAGAGACCCACACCCATAGAGACCCACACTCATAGAGACACACAGAGACCCACACTCATAGAGACCCACACCCACAGAGACCCACACTCATAGAGATCCACACTCATAGAGACCCACACTCATAGAGACCCACACCCACAGAGACCCACACTCATAGAGACACACAGAGACCCACACTCACAGAGACCCACACCCATAGAGACCCACACTCATAGAGACACACAGAGACCCACACTCATAGAGACCCACACCCATAGAGACCCACACTCATAGAGACCCACACTCATAGAGACCCACACTCACAGAGACACACACTCACAGAGACCCACAGAGACACACACTCACAGAGACCCACAGAGACCCACACTCATAGAGACCCACACTCATAGAGACCCACACTCATAGAGACCCACACTCACAGAGACCCACACCCATAGAGACCCACACTCATAGAGACACACAGAGACCCACACTCATAGAGACACACAGAGACCCACACTCACAGAGACCCACACCCATAGAGACCCACACTCATAGAGACACACAGAGACCCACACTCATAGAGACCCACACCCACAGAGACCCACACTCACAGAGACCCACCCTCACAGAGACCCACACTCATAGAGACCCACACTCATAGAGACCCACACCCACAGAGACCCACACTCATAGAGACCCACACTCATAGAGACCCACACCCACAGAGACCCACAGAGACCCACACTCATAGAGACCCACACTCATAGAGACCCACACTCATAGAGACCCACACTCATAGAGACCCACACTCATAGAGACTCACAGAGACCCACACCCACAGAGACCCACACTCATAGAGACCCACACTCATAGAGACCCACAGAAACCCACACTTATAGAGACCCACACTCACAGAGACCCACACTCACAGAGACCCACACTCACAGAGACCCACACTCACAGAGACCCACACTCATAGAGACCCACACTCATAGAGACCCACACCCACAGAGACCCATAGAGACCCACACTCACAGAGACCCACACTCATAGAGACCCACTCTCATAGAGACCCACACTCACAGAGACCCATAGAGACCCACACTCATAGAGACCCACACCCACAGAGACCCATAGAGACCCACACCCACAGAGACCCATAGAGACCCACATTCACAGAGACCCACACTCATAGAGACCCACATTCATAGAGACCCACACCCACAGAGACCCATAGAGACCCACACTCATAGAGACCCACACTCATAGAGACCCACAGAGACCCACACTCACAGAGACCCACAGAGACCCACACTCATAGAGACCCACACTCATAGAGAGACCCACAGGGACCCACACTCATAGAGACCCACACCCATAGAGACCCACACTCATAGAGACCCACACCCACAGAGACCCATAGAGACCCACACTCATAGAGACCCACACTCATAGAGACCCACACCCACAGAGACCCACACTCATAGAGACCCACACTCATAGAGACCCACACTCATAGAGACCCACACCCACAGAGACCCACACCCACAGAGACCCACACCCACAGAGACCCACACTCATAGAGACCCACACTCATAGAGACCCACACTCATAGAGACTCACAGAGACCCACACTCACAGAGACCCACACCCACAGAGACCCACACTCATAGAGACCCACAGAGACCCACACTCATAGAGACCCATAGAGACCCACACTCACAGAGACCCACAGAGACCCACACTCACAGAGACCCACACCCACAGAGACCCACACTCATAGAGACACACAGAGACCCACACTCATAGAGACCCACACTCATAGAGATCCACAGAGACCCACACTCATAGAGACCCACAGAGACCCACACTCATAGAGATCCACAGAGACCCACACTCACAGAGACCCACACTCATAGAGACCCACACCCACAGAGACCCACACTCACAGAGACCCACAGAGACCCACACTCATAGAGACCCACACTCATAGAGACCCACACTCAGAGAGACCAACACTCAGAGACCCATAGAGACCCACACCCACAGAGACCTATAGAGACCCACACTCACAGAGACCCACACTCATAGAGACCCACCACTCATAGAAACCCACACCCACAGAGACCCACATTCATAGAGACCCACACCCACAGAGACCCATAGAGACCCACACTCACAGAGACCCACAGAGACCCACACTCATAGAGACCCACACTCATAGAGACCCACAGAGACCCACACTCACAGAGACCCACAGAGACCCACACTCATAGAGACCCACACCCACAGAGACCCACACTCATAGAGACCCACACCCACAGAGACCCATAGAGACCCACACTCATAGAGACCCACAGAGACCCACACTCATAGAGACCCACACTCAATAGAGACCCACAGAGACCCACACTCATAGAGCCCCACACTCATAGAGACCCACAGAGACCCACACCCACAGAGACCCATAGAGACCCACACTCATAGAGACCCACACTCACAGAGACCCACAGAGACCCACACTCATAGAGACCCACACTCATAGAGACCCACAGAGACCCACACCCACAGAGACCCATAGAGACCCACACTCATAGAGACCCACACCCACAGAGACCCACACTCATAGAGACCCACACTCATAGAGACCCACACTCACAGAGACCCACACTCACAGAGACCCACAGAGACCCACACTCATAGAGACCCACACTCATAGAGACCCACACTCATAGAGACCCACACTCACAGAGACCCACACTCACAGAGACCCACACCCATAGAGACCCACACTCATAGAGACCCACACTCATAGAGACCCACACTCATAGAGACCCACACTCACAGAGACCCACACTCACAGAGACCCACACTCACAGAGACCCACACCCATAGAGACCCACACCCACAGAGACCCACACCCACAGAGACCCACACTCATAGAGACCCACAGAGACCCACACTCACAGAGACCCACACTCATAGAGACCCACACCCACAGAGACCCACACTCATAGAGACCCACACCCACAGAGACCCACACTCATAGAGACCCACACTCATTGAGACCCACACTCATAGAGACCCACAGAGACCCACACCCACAGAGACCCACACCCACAGAGACCCACAGAGACCCACACTCATAGAGACTCACACCCACAGAGACCCACACTCATAGAGACCCACACTCATAGAGACCCACACTCATAGAGACCCACAGAGACCCACACTCATAGAGACCCATAGAGACCCACACTCACAGAGACCCACAGAGACCCACACTCATAGAGACCCACACCTACAGAGACCCACACTCATAGAGAACCCACACCACAGAGACCCACACTCATAGAGACCCACACCCACAGAGACCCATAGAGACCCACACTCATAGAGACCCACACTCATAGAGACCCACACCCACAGAGACCCACACTCATAGAGACCCACACTCACAGAGACCCACAGAGACCACACTCATAGAGACCCACACTCATAGAGACCCACACTCATAGAGATCCACAGAGACCCACACTCATAGAGACCCACAGAGACCCACACTCATAGAGACCCACAGAGACCCACACTCATAGAGACCCACAGAGACCCACACTCACAGAGACCCACAGAGACCCACACTCACAGAGACCCACACCTACAGAGACCCACACTCATAGAGACCCACACCCACAGAGACCCACACTCACAGAGACCCACAGAGACCCACACTCATAGAGACCCACACTCATAGAGACCCACACTCATAGAGACCCACAGAGACCCACACTCATAGAGACCCACACTCATAGAGACCCACACTCATAGAGACCCACACTCATAGAGATCCACAGAGACCCACACTCATAGAGACCCACAGAGACCCACACTCATAGAGACCCACAGAGACCCACACTCATAGAGATCCACAGAGACCCACACTCACAGAGACCCACAGAGACCCACACTCATAGAGACCCACACTCACAGAGACCCACACTCACAGAGACCCACAGAGACCCACACTCATAGAGATCCACAGAGACCCACACTCATAGAGACCCACACTCATAGAGACCCACAGAGACCCACACTCACAGAGACCCACAGAGACCCACACTCATAGAGACCCACACTCACAGAGACCCATACTCATAGAGACCCACAGAGACCCACACTCACAGAGACCCACAGAGACCCACACTCACAGAGACCCACACCCACAGAGACCCACACTCATAGAGATCCACACTCATAGAGACCCACAGAGACCCACACTCATAGAGACCCACAGAGACCCACACTCACAGAGACCCACACCCACAGAGACCCACACTCACAGAGACCCACACTCACAGAGACCCACAGAGACCCACACCCACAGAGACTCACACCCACAGAGACCCACACTCATAGAGACCCACACTCATAGAGACCCACACTCATAGAGATCCACAGAGACCCACACTCATAGAGATCCACAGAGACCCACACTCATAGAGACCCACACTCATAGAGACCCACACTCATAGAGACCCCACACTCATAGAGATCCACAGAGACCCACACTCATTAGAGATCCACAGAGACCACACTCATAGAGACCCACACTCATAGAGATCCACAGAGACCCACACTCATTAGAGATCCACAGAGACCCACACTCATAGAGACCCACACTCATAGAGACCCACACTCATAGAGATCCACAGAGACCCACACTCATAGAGATCCACAGAGACCCACATCTCATAGAGACCCACACTCATAGAGACCCACACTCATAGAGATCCACAGAGACCCACACTCATAGAGATCCACAGAGACCCACACTCATAGAGACCCACACTCACAGAGACCCACAGAGACCCACACTCACAGAGACCCACACCTACAGAGACCCACACTCATAGAGACCCACACCCACAGAGACCCACACTCACAGAGACCACAGAGACCCACACTCATAGAGACCCACACTCATAGAGACCCACACTCATAGAGACCACAGAGACCCACACTCATAGAGACCCACACTCATAGAGACCCACACTCATAGAGACCCACACTCATAGAGATCCACAGAGACCCACACTCATAGAGACCCACAGAGACCCACACTCATAGAGACCCACAGAGACCCACACTCATAGAGACCCACAGAGACCCACACTCACAGAGACCCACAGAGACCCACCACTCATAGAGACCCACACTCACAGAGACCCACACTCACAAGAGACTCACAGAGACCCACACTCATAGAGATCCACAGAGACCCACACTCATAGAGACCCACACTCATAGAGACCCACACTCATAGAGATCCACAGAGACCCACACTCATAGAGATCCACAGAGACCCACACTCATAGAGACCCACACTCATAGAGACCCACACTCATAGAGACCCACACTCATAGAGATCCACAGAGACCCACACTCATAGAGATCCACAGAGACCCACACTCATAGAGACCCACACTCATAGAGATCCACAGAGACCCACACTCATAGAGATCCACAGAGACCCACACTCATAGAGACCCACACTCATAGAGACCCACACTCATAGAGATCCACAGAGACCCACACTCATAGAGATCCACAGAGACCCACACTCATAGAGACCCACACTCATAGAGACCCACACTCATAGAGATCCACAGAGACCCACACTCATAGAGATCCACAGAGACCCACACTCATAGAGACCCACACTCACAGAGGAACCCACAGAGACCCACAACTCACAGAGAACCACACCTACAGAGACCCCACACTCATAGAGACCCCACACCACAGAGACCCACACTCACAGAGACCCACAGAGACCCACAGCTCATAGAGACCCACACTCATAGAGACCCACACTCATAGAGACCCACAGAGACCCACACTCATAGAGACCACACTCATAGAGACCCACACTCATAGAGACCCACACTCATAGAGATCCACAGAGACCCACACTCATAGAGACCCACAGAGACCCACACTCATAGAGACCCACAGAGACCCACACTCATAGAGATCCACAGAGACCCAGCACTCACAGAGACCCACAGAGACCCACACTCATAGAGACCCACACATCACAGAGACCCACACTCACAGAGACCCCACAGAGACCCACACTCATAGAGATCCACAGAGACCCACACTCATAGAGACCCACAACTCATAGAGACCCACAGAGACACCACACTCACAGAGACCCACAGAGACCCACACTCATAGAGACCCACACTCACAGAGACCCACACTCACAGAGACCCACAGAGACCCACACTCACAGAGACCCACAGAGACCCATACTCATAGAGACCCAGACTCATAGAGATCCACACTCATAGAGACCCACAGAGACCCACACTCATAGAGACCCACAGAGACCCACACTCACAGAGACCCACACCCACAGAGACCCACAGAGACCCACACTCACAGAGACCCACAGAGACCCACACCCACAGAGACCCACACCCACAGAGACCCACACTCACAGAGACCCACACTCATAGAGACCAACACTCATAGAGACCCACAGAGACCCACACTCATAGAGACCCACAGAGACCCACACTCATAGAGACCCACACTCATTAGAGACCCACACTCATAGAGACCCACACTCATAGAGATCCACAGAGACCCACACTCATAGAGATCCACAGAGACCCACACTCATAGAGACCCCACACTCATAGAGATCCACAGAGACCCACACTCATAGAGATCCACAGAGACCCACACTCATAGAGACCCACACTCATAGAGACCCACACTTCATAGAGATCCACAGAGACCCACACTCATAGAGATCCACAGAGACCCACACTCATAGAGACCCACACTCATAGAGACCCACACTCATAGAGATCCACAGAGACCCACACTCATAGAGATCCACAGAGACCCACACTCATAGAGACCCACACTCATAGAGACCCACACTCATAGAGATCCATAGAGACCCACACTCATAGAGACCCACACTCATAGAGACCCACACTCATAGAGATCCACAGAGACCCACACTCATAGAGACCCACAGAGACCCACACCCACAGAGACCCACACTCATAGAGACCCACACTCATAGAGATCCACAGAGACCCACACTCATAGAGACCCACACTCATAGAGATCCACAGAGACCCACACTCATAGAGACCCACAGAGACCCACACCCACAGAGACCCACACTCATAGAGACCCACACTCATAGAGACCCACAGAGACCCACACTTATAGAGACCCCACACTCTCCCCCCCATCTCTCCCCCCCCTCTCCCCCCCCCTCTCCCCCCCCCCCCCCCACCAGCCATGGAGTCTCTGCTGGTCCCGGCGATGCGTTCCTGCGTGGCCGCCAGTCGTCGCTGGTGGCGTCGCTGGTGGCCCTCTGCGTGTTCGCCGGCCACGAGCTGTTCACCGTCGTGGCGACGGCTTGCCCCTGCTCGCCGGGGCGGAACCCGGCCCTGGCCGGCCTGTCCGCCCTCGGCCCCGCGCTCCTCCTGCTCCTCGCGGGGCTCGCCGTCAACAACCACACTCAGCGGTCGCTCGCGGTACGGTCCGGCGGGTGTCTCGCTAGCGTAGACTAGCCCTGTGGTCCCTCGCTGCGGTAGACCAGCCCCGTGTGTCTCGCTAGCGGTAGACCACCCCGTGTCTCGCTAGCGGTAGACCAGCCCCGTGTCTCGCTGGCCGGTAGACCAGCCCCGTGTGTCTCGCTGCCGGTAGACCAGCCCCGTGTGTCTCGCTGCCGGTAGACCAGCCCGTGTCTCTCGCTGCCGGTAGACCATCCCCGTGTCGCTGCCGGTAGAATAGCCCGTGTCGCTAGGGCGGTAGACTAGCCCCGTGTCTCGCTACCGGTAGACCAGCCCCGTGTCTCGCTAGCGGTAGACTAGCCCCGTGTCTCGCTACCGGATAGACCCAGCCCCCTGTCGCTGCCGGTAGTCCAGCCCCGTGTCTCGCTACCGGTAGTCCAGCCCCGTGTCTCGCTACCGAGGTAGACCAGCCCCGTGTCTCGCTACCGGTAGACTAGCCCCGTGTCGCTACTGGTAGACCCAGCCCCGTGTCTCCGCTGCCGGTAGACCAGCCCCGTGTCTCGCTACCGGTAGACTAGCCCCGTGTCTCGCTGCCGGTAGGACCAGCCCCGTGTCTCGCTACCGGTAGACCAGCCCCGTGTCTCGCTACCGGTAGACTAGCCCCGTGTCTCGCTACCGGTAGACTAGCCCCGTGTCTCGCTACCGGTAGACTAGCCCCGTGTCTCGCATACCGTAGACTAGCCCCGTGTCTCGCTACCGGTTAGACCAGCCCCGTGTCTCGCTGCCGGTAGACCAGCCCCGTGTCTCGCTGCCGGTAGACCAGCCCCGTGTCTCGCTGCCGTAGTCTAGCCCCTATGGTCGCTGCCGAGGTAGACCACAGCCCCGTGTCTCGCTACCGGTAGACTAGCCCCGTGTCTCGCTGCCGGTAGACTAGCCCCGTGTCTCGCTACCGGTAGACCAGCCCCGTGTCTCGCTACCGGTAGACTAGCCCCGTGTCGCTGCCGGTAGACTAGCCCCGTGTCGCTACTGGTAGACCAGCCCCGTGTCTCGCTGCCGGTAGACCAGCCCGTGTCTCACTGCCGGTAGACTAGCCCCGTGTCTCGCTACCGGTAGACTAGCCCCGTGTCGCTACTGGTAGACCAGCCCCGTGTCCCGCTGCCGGTAGACCAGCCCCGTGTCTCCGCTGCCGGTAGACCAGCCCCGTGTCTCGCTACCGGTAGACCAGCCCCGTGTCTCGCTACCGGTAGACTAGCCCCGTGTCGCTACTGGTAGACCAGGCCCGCGTGTCTCGCTGCCGGTAGACCAGCCCCGTGTCTCGCTAGCCGGTAGACTAGCCCCGTGTCCTCGCTGCCGGTAGACCAGCCCCGTGTCTCGCTACCGGTAGACCAGCCCGTGTCTCGCTACCGGTAGGACTAGCCCCGTGGTCTCGCTACCGGTAGACTAGCCCCGTGTTCTCGCTACCGGTAGACTAGCCCCGTGTCTCGCTACCGGTAGACTAGCCCCGTGTCCTCGCTACGGTAGACCAGCCCCGTGTCTCGCTGCCGGTAGACCAGCCCCGTGTCTCGCTGCCGGTAGACCAGCCCAGTGTCTCGCTGCCGGTAGTACCAGCCCCATGTCTCGCTGCCGGTAGACTAGCCCCGTGTCTCGCTAGCGGTAGACTAGCCCCGTGTCTCGCTAGCGGTAGACTAGCCCCGTGTCTCGCTAGCGGTAGGCTAGCCCCGAGTCTCGCTGCCGGTAGACCAGCCCCGTGTCTCCGCTTAGCCGGTAGACTAGCCCAGTGTCTCGCTAGCGGTAGGCCTAGCCCCGTGTCTCGCTAGCGGGTAGACCAGCCCCGTGTCTCGCTGCCGTAGACCAGCCCCGTGTCTCGCTGCCGGTAGTCTAGCCCCGTGTGTCTCGCTAGCGGTAGGACTAGCCCCGTGTCGCTAGCGGTAGACCTAGGCCCCGTGTCTCCGCTGGCCCGGGAGACTAGCCCCGTGTCTCGCTCGCGGTAGACCAGCCCGTGTCTCGCTGCCGGTAGTCTAGCCCCATGTCGCTGCCGGTAGACCAGCCCCGTGTCGCTAGCGGTAGACCAGCCCCGTGTCTCGCTGCCGGTAGACCAGCCCGTGTCTCGCTGCCGGTAGTCTAGCCCCATGTCGCTGCCGGTAGACCAGCCCCGTGTCGCTAGCGGTAGACCAGCCCCGTGTCTCGCTGCCGGTAGACTAGCCCCGGTCTCGCTGCCGGTAGACCAGCCCCGTGTCTCGCTGTCGGTAGTCTAGCCCCGTGTCGCTACCGGTAGACCAGCCCCGTGTCGCTACCGGTAGACTAGCCCCGTGTCTCGCTGCCGGTAGTCTAGCCCCATGTCGCTGCCGGTAGACCAGCCCCGTGTCTCGCTACCGGTAGACCAGCCCGTGTCTCGCTACCGGTAGACCAGCCCCGTGTCTCGCTACCGGTAGACTAGCCCCGTGTCGCTACTGGTAAGACCAGCCCCGTGTCTCGCTGCCGGTAGACCAGCCCCGTGTCTCGCTACCGGTAGACTAGCCCCGTGTCTCGCTGGCCGGTAGACCAGCCCCGTGTCTCGCTACCGGTAGAACCAGCCCGGTGTCTCGCTACCGGTAGACTAGCCCCGTGTCTCGCTACCGGTACGACTAGCCCCGTGTCTCGCTACCGGTAGACTAGCCCCGTGTCTCGCTACCGGTAGACTAGCCCCGTGTCTCGCTACCGGTTAGACCAGCCCCAGTGTCTCGCTGCCGGTAGACCAGCCCCGTGTCTCGCTGCCGGTAAGACCAGCCCCGTGTCTCGCTGCCGGTAGTCTAGCCCCCACTGGTCGCTGCCGGTAGACCAGCCCCGTGTCGCTAGCGGTAGACTAGCCCGTGTCTCGCTACCGGTAGACTAGCCCCTGTGTCCTCGCTGCCGGTAGACTAGCCCCGTGTCTCGCTACCGGTAGACCAGCCCCGTGTCCTCGCTACCGGTTAGGACTAGCCCAGTGTCTCGCTGCCGGTAGACTAGCCCCGTGTCGCTGACTGGTAAGACCAGCCCCGTGCTCGCTGCCGGTAGACCAGCCCCGTGTCTCACTGCCGGTAGACTAGCCCCGTGTCTCGCTACCGGTAGACTAGCCCGTGTCGCTACTGGTAGACCAGCCCCGTGTCCCGCTGCCGGTAGACCAGCCCCGTGTCTCGCTGCCGGTAGACCAGCCCCGTGTCTCGCTGCCGGTAGACCAGCCCCGTGTCTCGCTGCCGGTAGACCAGCCCGTGTCTCGCTGCCGGTAGACTAGCCCCGTGTCTCGCTACCGGTAGACTAGCCCCGTGTCGCCGGTAGACTAGCCCCGTGTCGCTACGGTAGACTAGCCCCGTGTCGCTAGCGGTAGACTAGCCCCGTGTCGCTAGCGGTAGACCAGCCCCGTGTCGCTAGCGGTAGTCTAGCCCCGTGTCTCGCTGCCGGTAGACTAGCCCCGTGTCTCGCTAGCGGTAGACTAGCCCCGTGCCGCTAGCGGTAGACTAGCCCCGTGTCGCTAGCGGTAGACTAGCCCCGTGTCTCGCTAGCGGTAGTCTAGCCCCGTGTCGCTAGCGGTAGACTAGCCCTGTGTCGCTAGCGGTAGACTAGCCCCATGTCGCTAGCGGTAGACTAGCCCCGTGTCGCTAGCGGTAGACTAGCCCCGTGTCGCTACCGGTAGACTAGCCCCGTGTCGCTACCGGTAGACTAGCCCCATGTCGCTAGCGGTAGACTAGCCCCATGTCGCTACCGGTAGACTAGCCCCATGTCGCTACCGGTAGACTAGCCCCATGTCGCTACCGGTAGACTAGCCCTATGTCGCTAGCGGTAGACTAGCCCCATGTCGCTACCGGTAGACTAGCCCCATGTCGCTAGCGGTAGACTAGCCCCATGTCGCTACCGGTAGACTAGCCCTATGTCGCTTGCGGTAGACTAGCCCCATGTCGCTACCGGTAGACTAGCCCCATGTCGCTAGCGGTAGACTAGCCCCATGTCGTTACCGGTAGACTAGCCCCATGTCGCTAGCGGTAGACTAGCCCCATGTCGCTAGCGGTAGACTAGCCCCGTGTCGCTAGCGGTAGACAGACCAGCCCCGTGTCGCTACCGGTAGACTAGCCCCATGTCACTAGCGGTAGACTAGCCCCGTGTCGCTACCGGTAGACTAGCCCCGTGTCTCGCTGCCGGTAGACTAGCCCCGTGTCGCTACCGGTAGACTAGCCCCGTGTCGCTACCGGTAGACTAGCCCTGTGTCGCTAGCGGTAGACTAGCCCCGTGTCTCGCTGCCATTAGACTAGCCCCGTGTCGCTAGCGGTAGACTAGCCCCATGTCGCTAGCGGTAGACTAGCCCCGTGTCGCTACCGGTAGACTAGCCCCGTGTCGCTACCGGTAGACTAGCCCCGTGTCGCTAGCGGTAGACTAGCCCCGTGTCTCGCTGCCATTAGACTAGCCCCGTGTCGCTAGCGGTAGACTAGCCCCATGTCGCTAGCGGTAGACTAGCCCCATGTCGCTAGCGGTAGACTAGCCCCGTCTCGCTACCGGTAGACTAGCCCCGTGTCGCTAGCGGTACGCCGGCCCATAGGGTTGGATCTCTGCGGCGTTCAGGAGGTCCGGTGGACCGGTGGCTCTGTGTTGTTTGTGTGTGGAGGAGGAGAGGCTGCCCGCTTCTCTGTCGGGAGCTGGACCGGTACCGCCTGGATCTCTGCGGTGTTCAGGAGGTCTGGTGCGCTGGTTCTGGTGTTTGTTTAGTGGAGAGGCTGCCACTCGTCTGTCAGGAGCTGGACCGGTACCGCCTGGATCTCTGCGGTATTCAGGAGGTCCGGTGGACCGGCTCTGGCTCCTGCCACCATGAGGGGTGGACAGTCCTCTATTCGGGGCAGCAGACTGCCAAACAACAGGGAGTGGCTCTTCTTCTGAACAAAAGTATGAAGGGGGCGTGGGAGCATGGCGGTGAGGTGTGGGAAGCTGTAAGCCCCAGGCTACTTTGGGCTCGCCTTCCCATCAACCGGAGGCGAGGAATGGTGGTCGTGGTTACTTATGTCCCCACCGAAGACGAACATCCGTGGAGGGATGCAGGAAAGGCGGTTGTTGTA